CAGGAGCCTGTATTTGCTGACCTGTCTCTCTGCCCTCAAATTCCTTGCCTATGAAAACAGTTAGCTCAACAAAGTGAAGTGCTGTAAGCTCAGCAAGTCCACAGGCCACATACAGAAATGATCAGTGGTTTGGAAATTCTCAGGCATCTCTCCCGTTAAAGATGCAAAAACTTCAAGTGCTTTTTTTTCCAGGTGAATGGCAGCTCCCACAACAGGGTTTCAGAAGTGTGCAAGTTCTCCTGTGCAGTGGGTGTGCACCACCCGCTGTACCTATTCCTTTCTACATTAAAAAACAGACAGGGAATAGTTGTATGCCAGATATCAGAAAGAGACAGCACTTTTACAAAAGGAAAGAAATTAAAAATAAACTTTAATCAAGTTTAAAATAAAAAGGAAGTATCTGCAGGAAATGAGCAGTGGGAGAAAAAAAAAATGTTAAAAAAATGTTAAAAGACTATCAACTTCTTCTCCTTTGCTCTCCTTTCCATTACCCAAGCTGACTACAAATGCATTCACCCCTTTCAGCTTTCCTGCTATCATTCTCTAATTAAAAAGCAATGCAAAGTTTGTGAATCAAACCAACATTGTCCTCCTAATGGGCTCAAATTCAGAGTAACATCTGCTCTCATAACTRTGTTGGCTTTTCTTCCTCAAAAAACAGACGAGTTCTTCCAAAGTTTTTGCATTTGTTTTCCTCCAAAGAAAGTTGAAGAAATGCCAGGACTTGGCACTGYAGTAACGAGCAGTGTGAACAGCTTTGGACATGGTCAAGTAGGGAACATGCAGATGGAAAGCAAACTGGTTGAGTGGTAAAAGACAGGACTGGATTCAAATATTCTCTCTGATCATTTGGGACAGTAAGGAAAAAATATTTACTTAAATTTATGAAACAACATTCTGACCYAGTCCTTTCACCTAAGAAAGTTTCACCGAGATGCACTGTCTTCCTGTGGATGGGAAAGATGGAATTAAATATGGCACATCACTTCAGGGAGGGCTGCTGACTCTTACGGAAATTAAATGAGCGAGATTGTTTCAGCTGTCTCTCCACAAACATGGATTTCACCCAGTTTATCTTCTTTATCAYGGTCTAATTCTAGCTTAGCGATAAAATCCCCTGGTGCTTTCCCCTTTACATACACTTAATTGCCAATTCCCCACTYCCCATGAGACTGAAAGGTGCAAACTCTCCACACACAGTGCTAAAATTAGAGCTGACACCAACTCCATGGGCTTGTGACAGCAACAAGAAATGATTCTTCAAGAGCTTTGCATACAGCAGCCTCTGCATTTACCCTGACAAGTCTGCAGATGGGTGAGTCGGTTGGACTGGGAATCTGGCTTTTCAGATGACCAACAATGGGGAAAAATAATGTGAAACGTCCACGCTGGATGTGGTTGGTGCACAGGGAAGACTAATGTTTCTCTCATTGCTGTTATTTAATACAAAACTGTATGAAGATTGCCTCTTCATATTGAGCAGCATCTTTTATATAGCATCTTTTATATTCCATGCACCCCCAGAGAAGCAGATTTACTCTGCTGCCTGTAGCACAGTGATGGGCTAAGGGGACAGAGCAGCCAAGTCACTTCCAGCACTAGGTCTGCATGCTGAGCGTGGCTGTGCTGAACTGGGAGAAAAGGCAGGAGGCAGATGGCCCTTTCTGCCAAGGGACCATCACCTGGACATGCCCAGAGGACAGAGGCCACACCTGAGGGTGGCTCCTCCAGGAGCACTATTCCCAGTGCTGGGCTACCAAATTCTGTGTAATGGGGGATATGAAGATTCGCTCAGCTAATGCAGACTGCTACTGAGTGAGTCAATGCTATTTATATTTAGCAAAACCATATGCAGATAAAATCAGTGCATGTCCGTCTTTCAGCCAYCAGAGACGCAGGCCGGCCCAGGCTCAACTACTGGCTTGCCTTGCCCAACCTCTCTATTTTCTCTACGCACCGTTTGAAAGCTACGACTTCCTTAAATCACCAATATTCCAGCATACTAAATCTGCAAGGAAAGCATGCTAGGCTTCCACTAGAATTACCTCTGGAAATGCTTTATTATGATAGTTCAAATATTAATATAAATTATTAGAGCTACCAATGGAAAATTACAGTGTCAGAATTTGAGCTGGGACTTAAAATTCTGACTTCCCTGATTTCAACTGCAGAGGCCCAGAAGCAGGTAACAAGACCAAGCTTCATTCTCTCACACTAAAGCATATCAATGTTCCATAACCTTTTAAAACTCATTCAATAAATGCACAAAATATACACAAAAGAGCAATCACCTATATAAATTATAGCTGCATTATATCATAGTATATATTTTGGCAACTGTATTTTTATGTAATATTGCTGGTGAAGGCAGCCATATCTTCTAACACAAAACTCACAAGTTTTCCTTTCTGAAGTTTCATTTCTCCACTTCAAACAGAACTTACCTATCCTGATACAGCCCACAGACCCAAAGGCACTCTGAGTGTCCGCACAATGCTGCCAAATTTTAATGCCTGCAATCCCCCTTTAAAAATACAGTAAGTATTTTTATTTTTCAAATGTTTTTCCCTCTTCTTATTCTCATTTGTAATGTCCAAGTTCTGATGCCTCTGTAAAAAGGCTATTGGGATGCATTGACCTTGGCTTGGTGAGTGGGCTTGTGGTGGGTTTTGGCATCACTTTGCCTACATGGAATGGTTACTGGAACTTCTCCATGAGTCTGTTGGATTTTGGAGGACTGTGGGTGTCACATCCACACCCTTCCCTCCCACCAGTTTGTCTTCTTCCCACTTGCCCATCTGCTACAGAAAATCATTTTTTTACAGAAATAAAGATGCCCGTTACAATCAGTGAGTGGTAAGTCATGGACTGCTCTGGACTGCTCCCGGAGTGCAGTCAAGGTGTGGATCTGAGAATGGGGCTCATGGGCAGAAATACACTCAAGTGGCACTGCTGTTTTCAAACTAACTGCGGTGCCGTGGGGAGCATCTGTGCAATACCCCCTCCTAGTCTGTGTTAAGTATTCCTTGAGGCAATTTGCTTCCATCTTAGACATAGGAAGCAAATCTGGCTAATAAAATCATCTTAGGCGTGATCAACATAGGAAGCAAATATGACTAATAAAATCACCAATCGCTGCACTCCCTTCCCACGGRGGATGGTGACTCTGTAGGAGCAGAAACGAGACTCTACTTTGCTGGTGCTGTGGGTGGAACTGTGAGGTCAGAGCGAACCCTCAGAAAGCCAGCGCTGCTCCCACATCTCGTGGGATTTCAGTCCTGGAGGTGCCAGGGCTCCTCCCACACTCCCGGAGCACACTGTAAACTCAAAGCACAAATATTCTACAGGATTTACAAGCGGCTGATCTCATCCACATGCCTTTCATCCATGTTGATGACTGTCCTGCATTAACAAACCCTTGAGTATTTAGGAGAGAGGTTTGAAATGAAGAGTATGTTGACTCTCTCTGTCAGAATATATACACAAGAACATATGTTTCCATATCCTCAGAGGTCTTCAAAGGGGAAAATAACTTTGCAGACAGCAAAACTCAGCACAGCTTGAAGGGATTTTCCTGATTTTACTTGAAAAGTAGATAAAAGTGCTTGAAACTCCTAAATTACATGAAGTCACACATCCATGTAACTGTCAACATTGATGAAGATTTACTTGTATTCTTCATCCTTGCTAGGAAAATAAGTATATCCTTATCCTGTAATCACTATGTGAGATAATTAGTGTGAAGCAAAATCCTAGTGCAGATGAGAGAGCAGTAGTTTTAAAGCAGGTGAGCAGGTCAGGGCAGATGCAGACCCTCCTGCACTACTTACTGTCTGCTGACAACAAACACTGCAAGCCAGCTTATCTGCACCAGCACCACACTGTGTATTAGGCAGCAAAGAGGAGTGCGACTGTTGTATGATCCGTGTCTTCCAAAGGAGGGATGTATCTGTGGTGTGTCTCTATACTTTGGCTTAATTCTCATATGGACAGAAAATGTGTTCACAACCTGTTCACTGTATTTACTTGTGCACTCTTACACTGACATACATGACTAAAAGATCGAATGCAGACATATCTGAAAGGGAGAAAAATCCCAAGTGTTACTTTCTGTGTACATGATCTGTCAACTTAGTAGTTGCTATTTTGATTGAAAAATATACCCAGGGATGGTGATGTCTGCTTGATAGATGCAGTCAGCTTAACAAGGACTACGGAGAGTGTTAAGCAAATACATAATTTATATAGACATGTTAAAGTTGTAAGAGCAGATTTAAGACTCTTTCCTTGGGGATTGAGGAAGATATTGTTTTCATTTGCTGTTCTTAACACGGCCTTCATGGTTGTTCACCAAAAGCAACTGCATGTTACGCACTCAGCTACCCCCACCCTCAGCTTTTTACAGCTCCAGCAAGTGTTAAGAGAAGCCTTCAGTTCCTGAGGTTCATTCTGTAGCTTAGCAGAATGAATGTGGGCCCAGATATCAAARGAGTGTGAAGAAACATAGTGATAACTTGGTTCCCAACGCACTCTCTAAGCTGCTCTATAGGCAAATTTCTCCTCAGGAGAAAGGATGGTTAAAGCAGCACTTTAGATGGTCAGTATTGTATGTGAAAAATAATCCTAGACTGAATCTGGTTTTGATGTACTGGGTTTTTCAAACACACTCTGGGATTTCTTCAGCTCAGGGTTGAAGGAAGCTGTCCAGCTGCAGGCAACACTAAGATGTACAAGTGAATTTGGATCCAACAGGGAGAGGTCTGTCCAATTTCTATGCAATTAATAAATAACCCACTGCCTGTACTCCCACCTGAATTTCATTTCTATGTAAACTTGTCATCTGGGAAACAAATCATGAATAATTCAGAAGACCTTTCCCTTCCCTCCTTCTCCTCTAGATTTAT